AACGTGCACATGCTATCCATTCGGCCCCGATTTGGTCCCGTTTCGTAACCCCGTCCCGAGAACGGTACCTGGGCTAACCCTCGACTTATTTATCTCGCCCTTATATGTGTTTACATGCTCGTATGTGTGTTGTAATTGCTGATCGTGTGATAATTCGAATTAATTATGTGTCGTGAATATGAATTTGAGTGAAATTTTGATACATATTTGCCATTGGATACCAAAGTGATTGCTGTCACTTTGAAAAATTGTCGAACTTAGGTTAATGTATTATTTTCTGTGGAAGTGCTGTAGATTATTGGACTTAGGAATGTCCTTGACGCAACTGCTTTGGCCTTGTGTCGTTTTGATATTTATATTGTAAGATATGAATTTTTTTAAAATCGTGCTGCAGCCGTTTTCGCTGAAATCACTATAATTCGTGTATTGCTCCAAAAATTCTGATTTTTTTATATGTTGTCACATTTTTTTTATATTACATGTAGTTAAAATTGAGGATTTAATACGGTCTGCAGCCTCGTCAAAACTCGAAAACCATTTTTAGACTGTTTCTTAGTAAATTCATATAAAATCGAGTTCTTTTTTGAATTGGCTAAATTTTGAATATGTTTCTTTTCTATATGATATCTTGCTGCTGTAAAAATTTCAAAATTAAATTTGGACTTTAGCTATTTTAAGTGATTTAATTTGATATCTAGTCAGATTTTGCTTAAATTATTTAAAATGGTTAGGATTATGTTTAAGGGTTTTCCTTTGGTGAAGATGTGTGTTTTTCAGCTCTTTATGTGATGTAAAAATTTTATTTGAAAAGTCCAAGTCTAACTTCTTATGGTCCCATCTTATAAATTTTGAACTAGTCCGTTTAACCGTTTTTGGGCGCCGGTTGGCCTTGTTGGCAAGAGCTTGACAACACCCCATTTTCATGTCAAATCTTCGTTGTCTGCTTTTATATGATTTATTAGTTTGTTGGTTGAGTCTAGAAGTCGTCCTAATGTTCCAACTCCACAACTTCCACGAGTTTCATAGTAGATGTGATTCAACTAAGTATAATTCTCGTTATCTGTGTAAGAGTCGAGATAGTTGCTTATGGGACTGTCTTGACTTATGTAGGTGTCTAATGAGCAGTGTCTCAACCACCTACAACTTTCTGGTATTTGCTTTATCATTCGACACCATGTGGGTTTATTTAAAAATTTGCTATGTCTTAAATGTTATTACTGTTTTAATTATGGTATGATCAAAGTATGCATGTGAATCATGTAGCCTTCGGTGTGAGTTGTACCGACCATCGAACGGTTATCCCCATATCTATAGAGTGTATCTGTTGGGTAGTCTCCCTTGAGAGCCGTAAGACCAGGGCGTAGGTTCTGGCTGGTGATCCCCGATTGTAAGACCAATTCGTATGTTTTGGCTGGTGGGGTGGTTTACTCCTACTGGCTGGGCATTGTTGTAAGACCAAGGCATAGGTCTTGGCGTTTGAATCGAGTATCAGTAGTAGTCTATGCGTAGGTGTGCACATGAGTCTGATTATTGTGATTATTGATGGGAGAATGGGATAGATTATTGCTTCGTATACATGCTGAGACCATACCTTTTGATTATTGATTACTGTTTATTATTGAGGCTAACATTTACTGCATAGTGGTGAGCACTATTGTTTCCTCTTGTGCTCATCCCCACCTGTTCTTCATGGATGCAGGTTAGTATGGTGGGCACGGTGGAGGGAAGCGAGTTGTGGTCACAAAAATTGTTATTGCTTCCGCTTGAAATTGAATTATTGTTATTCTTGTCTTATTGATTACTGATTATTGATAGGGAATATATTCCCTAGGATTGTATGAGTATTGGATAATTGGATTGGTTATTGATTATTGAACTGAACTAGTGTTGGATTATTGATTATTGATGCATGAGTACTAAGGACTGAGTATTGATGATTGATAAGTATTGATTATTGATTTGAAATGAGTAGCGCCTCAAGTGTTTTAAAATAAATTGTGAAATATTTATTCTCATTTTCGGCAAACAAAAGTGGGGCGTTACACTTTTCTCCTACGAGAATTTGTTGTGGCCTTGCAAACAGATGTGTTTTTTGGTCCTCACGGCGACTTCAAAATTATGTGCGTGGCTGCTACATATATGTCTTTTCATGACTTTCAAGTGGGTTATACCATGGAGTTAAGGCATTCAACCTT